CCCCGCCACAGCAATCAGTGCGCTTGCCCCACCACCACTGGTTCCGCCTACAAAGAGCTCCCTGGGCAGATCTGGCCTGAGGCAGAAGGTGAGTTTGACACCCCTAAACTAGGCAATGCAGGAGCACAGATCAGCCCTCAACAGGTAACATCTGTCAAAGCGTGCGGGTTACCTCCTTCCTGGTACAACTGGACTCACTCAAATCCAGTTTTAAAGACACCCTGCTATCTCTCAGCCACCAACTGCATCTAAATACTGAGCTGTTTGATCAAAATGCCTTCTCTAAAATTAACATAGTTTCATTCATAGCTCTGTTTAGCCTTGAGCCTACCAGCAAGAATGGCTGGAATAAGCCCTTCTCCCCTGCAAAACAGAGCCTACTCAGAATATCAAGTGTCCAACTAAACTAAAAAGGGAGAAGGCAGCAGCTAGTCAATTGTCTGGCTCAAAAAGGGAGGCTTGAGGCCAAGCAAACACTGACATGAGAGGCAACACCAACACTGGAACTTTTGCACACTAAGTATGATTGGAGGCCTCCTGCCAGCTAAACAAATTTAATAATGACACCACAACACTCAGTTTGGTAACTAAGAGAAATAAGGCAGCTTCGCAGCATCTCAAAGAACCCTGAGGGGCCATGATCAATCATACACCATCAGGTGGCTAGGGTCTTAATGAAAAGGCCTGGAGCTGATCCTATGTTCAAAGAATGCTGAAAGAACCACTAAGGCAGAATAAAGTAACCTGCACAAATCCCATGGAGAAAATTTCAACCTGGTTAGCATATTTGTTATATAATAATATAAAAAATGCTGCATAATTGCCTTTGGTCATGACACACTACAGTCAAGAGGCCTCCCATAGTGCTTGGATTTGTCTGACTAAACTGACACTTGCAAATGTGTTCAAACTCCAGTTCTTCAGATAATGTTTTAATGCTATGCACCCCAAAGGCTCTGCTTCTGGAGGTTATCATCAGGCTTCCTTAAAGCCATCCCATGGAGCAGATAAAAGCATTCTAAAATGGATCAGCGTACATGGGGGATGAAACCAGGAGAAAGAAAAGTTCTCAAGTTTGTGTGCAAGTAATAGAAGATGACATGGCCACCCACAGAAACCTTGAAGAGACTATCCCAGATTATAATTAGCAGTACCAACAGCTTTAGTGCATGGTTACCAAATGCCACAGCATCCTCTGAACACATTTGCTTTGATCGCTTAAATAAATGACTGCAATTAAACAGTTACAAAAGATAATAGCAGTAACAATGACACTTCTAGAAGGCCTCCAGGAAGCCAGCACGTGAAACTTAACCACAAACACTGCAGCCCTTTGAAAACAGAAAACTCAACAGCCGCCTGCAAGCAAACGTTTCCGGAAGTACCGAATTAAAAAAACACAAACCGCTGTCCATATCAACAGTTAATTCAGCTCTCTGCAGGTTTTTAAAATCCCAAAAGCCACAATAACGTGCATCTTCATCTCAAGCTGGGGGCCACAGCAGAAGCATTCACATTGTGACCCCATCAGGTAATACCTGTGAATTCTGCTAATGCTCCAAACCATGATTTTGATTTTTGATTTCAAGCTTAAAGTGCTCCATTCCAAGCTAAATTCAGAGTGGGCGGAAAGGACCTGAGGAAGATGCATCTAATAAAGAGCATAAATAACCATGCAATTAAAGAAGAGGGAAAGAAGGATACTATTAAAAAAAAATCAACTTCCTTTTAGGCGCTATGGCAGGTACTATATTATTAACCTTGAAGGTTGCCTGATGTGCAAAGATGTATATACAACAGCATGACAGGCCTGCCCTGCACCACCAACTCACACCTTGGATGGTAAGAACTGGCCCCAGGTGTGATGGTAAGTTGAGTCTACTATGACTGATGATGATGAGTTTCTTTTGTACTGGCTTCTGATGCAGTTGCCAAAAGCCTGCTGGTTGCTATAGAATCTGCAGCAATGGGCTGTACCATGCAAACAATCTGGGTCCCCTGAAACTCAGGTGAGAGCCAACTCTTCCATGTATAAAATCATTTAACTTACTGGCGCTCAATCTTTTGGCCCCATTGGGCAGATGAGTGGAGCAGGGCTGGTCTGCGGGCTGGATCAAGCTCTGCACACCAGGATCTGGCCTTGCACCACCCCCCTCCCTGCTCTGAATGCTGGGAGCAGGCTCTAAGGTCTGGCACTGCCCCCTCATGTCAGGACTGGTTTTTGATACTGCCCCCTCCCACACCAGTGCACCAGGATTGGGTCCTGGGGGGCCTGGCACTGAGATTGATCCTAGGGCACCTGGCTCTGCCCCCTTCTGCCGCAGCACACTAAGTTTGGGTTGCAGGGTCACAGCACTGCCCCCTCCCAGCCCACCACACTGGGATTGGGCCCTGGAGCTCTACTGCTTCTGCCTGGCTCTGCGTGCTGGGAGGGGATGCCAGATCCAGTGTGCAGGACCTGGGGCTCCCCATAGGTCTGAAAATTTGACAGTGGGGGAACAGTACTGTTGTTCTGCCACCAGCAAATTTCCAGTCCCATTGGGAGCCTTGGGGGCCAAGGGCCGAGCACTCTTGGTTTCACTAACACAGCACAAGATTAAGACAGGTCTACCTCGGCAACTTCTGCCAGCACAGCTAGCTGCTCAGCAGGGATGCCATCTCCAGCCAACACAGCTGTGCTGGTACAAAACGGGAGCGCGTCAGTTAGCTGGGTTAGTCTGAAGTCACAGTGCAAGGCAGAGTACATGTGCACCTTATACACTAACCAAAACGTGTGCGTGCATGTGCACGCATGCAGGGTAGATTTGCACCTTATACTTATAAACTAACCAAAGTTGTGTGTGCGTAGGGTAGATGTGCACCTTATACACTACGCACAGTGTGTGCGTAGGGTAGATGTGCACCTTATACACTACCCACAGTGTGTGCGTAGCTGTGTGTGTCTACCAACACAGGCGGGCCAGGGTCTCTGGGTCAATCCGGTGTCTTTCATCAGACCAGCGAAACCGTTGTCACGAAGATGTCTGCAAGCCTCCAGGCACAGAGGCCCTTCCTCGGGCCTAGGGAGTCTTTGCCTGACGAAGGGTGCTTGTACCCAAAAGCTCGCAAAGATCTTTTCCCCCAACTATTTCATAGACCCTGGCCTACCTGTGTATTACACCCCCCACCAGCACCTCCCGCCGGGTCCGCGTGCCCCGGCCCATGAAGCTCGCGCTGTTTCTATAGTCTCTGCCAGTCCGCAGCCGCGCTGCAGGTCGGGACGGGGGGTGACCCCTGCAGCCCCGCGCCGGTGGGTCCCCTCGAGCGGCGCTCGGGCGCCCGGGGGGGAGAAGGCAAGTGAGGACCGGGATGTCTCGAGGGATCATCGCGGACACGTTGCGCGCCCTCCCCCCACAGCCTGGGCCGCACCCGACGCCTCCGGGGCGGCCGGAGCCCCCCACACGGAGCGGGGAGCCGGTCCACGCCGCACCTTGTCCAGCAGCCCGTTCCGGCCTCCCCTCGCCGCCATCTTGCCTCCTCCTCCCGCCGCGCGCCGGCACGGCCGACCTGTCAGGCGCCGATTGGCTCCCGCCCTTCACTGGTTGGGCACGGGACCGGAAGCCCCCTCCTTGCCCGCCCCCTCCTCGCGGGGCATGCCGGGAGCCGGCGTTCGGAGCGCGGCGGTTGCCATGGAGACGGCGCGAGCGCAGGTGAGTATTGTCGCATCGCGCCCTGATAATGTTCTGTGAAATGATGCGGGGCCACATCGTGGGCTTGACACGTGCCTTTGCTGTTGAATGGAGGCGTCGTTTAGTAGCTCCGTTCAGAGCAATGGCTGGCAGCTCCGGCCTTTTGCCGAGTAGCACTGAACAGCGGCAGAGCATCATGTTGTGTCCAAGCACCACCACGTTTTGAGTTCATTGAAGGAGGCCGACTGCAGACTTCAGATCACACCCTGGCCTACACCACAGTCCCCTTGTTAAAGTATAGTGACCTGGAGTCATATGGGGAGGGGAAGGAGAAGGGCTTTGTTTGCGGAGCTTGGAGTACACGCAGCTTCTGCTCAGTCTGTGAAGTCTTGGCTGAGGTGCAAACACCTCGGCAACTTATTCAGCGCCTTATTGTTGGTTGAAGTGGTCAGTGTGAAAATGGCGGTACCATGTGGCTTGATCAGGCTTCAGTGGAAGGGGGTAGGGAGAAAAGGGACACGAATTAAAAGACGGAAACGATGTGAGTCACGTTCTGCGTTGAGTGAATCATGAACAGCCTGCTATTTTGAAGGCAGATTTACTGTCTGAATCTTGGCACCCCCATTTGAACACGTTGGCCCCATTCTCTCTATCACAGTTTACACAGCATCATTCAACGTCTGTTCAGTGATCTGGTCCAGTAGTATTGGCTGCCAGGGAAAGTTTTAATTGCAGGTGTAACTTATTTGTACCCTGATCTTTTAGTAACTTTGCAGATGACTACAAGATGATGGCAACAGGACTATGCAAATTGGACAATGGAAGCAGTTACGCAACCAACTGCTTCCCTGCCAGGAGCATCTTGCGGACAAACAAAGAAGGTAACATTGCTTTGACAGCAGCTAACGTGCAGCCACGCAGCAGAAGGAAGGCCTGTCGGATTTCAGGCTTGTGACTGTTAAAAGCTTGGGGCTGGATCCTGAGCTTGTATAAATCAGCAGAGTACCATTATTTTCACTGAAGCCCTGTTGATTTACACTAGCAAAGGGTTTGATCCTTTAGCTTTTCCTTTTGGTGTCTTTTCATCACCCATTTGATTGATATATGCTTCAAGAGCTGAACAGCATTCAAGCTAGGAACTCCAGATGGCTGTTTCAGTTTGCATGCAAGAATTCTTGCTTTTGCATTCATTTAATATTGGAAAAATCACTGGCTCAAGTTCAGCCTTGGTTTAAGTTGTTGCAGTTCCCATTGACTCTTGTGGGAACTGTGCCTCTTTACTCCTGGGCTGAATTTGATTCAGTGTGAAAAAATCAAAACAAAGTAACGGAGGGTGACTCCATTTTAAGTGTCAGTGTGTAAAAGCATTATTTTTCACCGGCTTGTTTTATACAAGGCCACACAGTGCTGTACAAGTAACTTCTTTCAGTATTTGAACCCAGCTCTTGAGAATTGGTCTAGCATTATGTGAACACAGCTAATTAAGGCTGTGTCTAAACTAGAGAACTGAACTACCAGTAACTGAACAGATGGGAAGTACCTGTGGTGCACTGTGGCCGCACTGATCATGTGCTTCTCCTTTATGTTTTGGCTTGTATGTGCATTTGTTCTAGAGTGCCATCTCAGCAGCATTTTCCTTTGCTTGGCTTTAAAACAGTTCCCAGCACAGCTTCATGAAGTAGTCGGAGGCTAGATGTACACCTTGCTGGAGTCGTTTGACCCCAGTACTCGTTCCTGCCGTGGCAGGGGGTTGGACTCGATGCTCTGCTCAGGTCCCTTCTGACCCTACTAACTATGAAACTAGTGGCCCACCAATTTCAAAAAGCCTTTTAGAAACCCATAGGAAACTGAGGAAAAATCAGGTTGTGTTCTGGTGAGATGCCTTAAGTTTCTGGAAAGTGGTGCTATTCCCAAGTCTTTTTTTCCAGCTGGAGGCCAGGAAGAGCATGCAGCTTTTGTTTCCTGCTTAGCCGGAAGGGTTTCTGCTGCCTCTCTGGAAGAGTAGTTATGAGACAGCTATGTGGAAATAGTATGGATTTCTGGAAGCATGGTGGAGTTTCTCAGGAACCTATTTGACTTTTTTTTCTCCTCCCAAAAAGCCTTTTGAAATTTTCTGTGGGCTGTTGCTTCAGAAAACCGTGCTTATCATTGTTCGTTATCAAATGAGCAGTTTGGCCACAACGGTAATGGACAGTGTCAGTTTATACGCAGGGCAAACCTGCTGGAAGCAGGGCAGTTTGTTACCATATTGTACCACTGGTACTTACTTGAATGCTAGTTTGTATGTTCACTTGCTAATGGCTGAGTTCTGTGCATACATAAAATCGCGGAGTCAAAATTCCTACTCAGCCTGGATCTGTGCCTCTCATTGCTAAGGCTGTATTTTAGGGGTACCTATTAGCTCATAGCTTGTAAATTCTTTGGGGTTGGGACCTTGTCTTCATTTCTGTCTAGAAAGGGTGAATTTTGTTTTACAAACAGAATAGAAAACTGCATTGTTTTCACTATAGCTTAGGTCTGTGACTTTCAACGATTTTAGATTCAAGGCATCCCTTGTTAGACTTGAAGCACCCCTTGGAAAATGCCAGCTCTTATGTTTCACTTGCTTTTTGACTGTAACAAAACAATACAATAGTTCTTCTATTGCAAAGAACTCATGAATCCCACAGTGAGTCAGAATGGTTTTGACAATGTGGATTCCTGTTTGAAATATCTGGGTTTATTTTGTGAATCATGTGAAGGGGTTTGTACACCTAACACTGCTAATTTTGAGTGGCACCCTTAACAGGATCTCACAGCATCCTAGGGTGCTGCAGTTGGGACAAGGAACAAGACAGAGCAAGACAGGAACAAGACAGAAAGTAAACTCTCTTGTTCTGTGTGTAGACAGAGCCAACCACAATAAGGTTCTAGTCCATGGCTTGCACCTTTAAAAGTTATTCATATGCCAACAAGCATCATCAGAATCTGTAAAATAAAGGAGCACATTCTGAAACCCTGTTTAAATGTCTCTGAAAATGTTCCAGTGCTTCCCTGGATACACTGTGAATAGTTGTATAATCCACCATTTTAATGCTCATTCCAGCAGGAGTCACAGCATGATGAGAGAGTGGGAAAGGAGCTTTAGAATAGCAGCCAGGGAACAGCGTGTGTTCCTTACAGTTGCTTTTTGCTTTGTTTTATGTTCTTTTTTCCCTGGGGTTGATTTGCATGAGAGTCAACACTTATGAAATACTTAGAAATCATTAAAAAAAATCCAGGATTGACATTTAAAAAGCAGTAGAATTACTCTGCTTCACATCTCCAGTCACAGCCTGGCTATTTCTGTCTTTAGTGATATGGTCGCTAATTATTTTCTTTGTACGGCATTTATAAATGGGTAATTTGACCATGTTTATATCAGAGCAATTGATGAAGTGCTGAATGGGCAGTCGGTGCTCTATAAAAGGCATATTCTGAAGTTTCTTGGCCACGTTGAGATCTGTTCTAATTGTGCACGTTCTTAACTCAGGGGCTGGTCACTGGCTGGTGGCACATAAATCTAGTCAGGAGAAAAGAGTGGTAAAAGTGGCTTCACTGTATATATCAGCACTCCAACCCTGTATAGCTGTAGAAGAGGTCACTGAGGAGAACGTCCTGGATGGGCCATTTCTGGTGAGTGTAAACCATTTCCGCCGAGTTGTGCCTCAGTGACTCAAGATATGATTAGTATTGCAGGTAAAAATAATATATTTGACTGGCACTTCTGAAATCTGGTATTTCCTATTACAGTTGCCCTCACTTCACCCTCTCCACTCTGTTATTGTGAGTCACTTGTGCTACAGAGAGGCTAACATCTACTAGTTCTAAAATCTTGAAGGATGTTGTGATCAGAAAGCTTCAGTAACTCAGTGCAACCTTACTCAATGGAACAGCTTGTGTCTGCTTTTGATCTTGCACTGGTTTTATTAATGTTACAAGTATTACATGAGGCCAGAAGCATCTGTCTTGCTATTCAGTCATAGTTTAGGCATTAAAACCATTTCATCCTTCATCCTCATTTTCCCTGAGGTTTGCTTGTTATGTTGGTGAACTGCCAACTATCACATTGCTTCTCTAGGCTGGATAGTGTTACCCCTTTGGTTTGTTCTCCCAGATGAAGCTTCATGGTGTGAAGACACCTTCAGATCTGTGTTCTGTGAATATAAGCAACAAAAACCTGGCATTGGTGAGTATGAGATGCTCTCCAAAATGAACGTAGAAAACCTCATGAAATCTTGAGAGATATTCACCAAGCTGGCCTTTGCAGGTTGGTGTTGTAGGCAAAAAATGTGTGAGAACATGGACCCTTCTTCCCCTGCAACCATTCACTGGCTTGTATCACCTGAACCTGTTCAGCCTCCACAGGAGAAGGCTGAGGGTGGATCTAGTGGCCATTTAGAAACTAGTCAGAGGGGACCAGCAGGCACTGGGGGAGTCCCTGTTCCCCTGAGCACTACTAGGAGTGACAAGAAATAACGGTCACAAGCTGGTAGAGGGTAGATTCAGACTAGACATCAGGAGGTGCTACTTCACTGTCAGGGCGGCTAGGATCTGGAACCAGCTTCCAAGAGAAGTGGTGCTGGCTCCTACCCTGGGGGTCTTTAAGAGGAGGCTGGATGAACACCTGCCTGGGGTCATTTGACCCCAGTACTTTTTCCTGCCATGGCAGGGGGTCAGACCTAATGATCTGCTCAGGTCCCTTCCAAGCCAACCAACAATGAAACTATGGATTTAGTTGATCTCTTGCCTATTAACAGATATGACCCTCTCACCCAAGCTTAGTGGTGCTTTCAACTTTTCAACTGTCCTAGCTAACAGGGAAAGGTTAAGATCCAGGTACAGCTTTCCTGTGGGATGGTAACTGGTCCACTTGACAGGGAGAAGGCTCACAGAAGTGCTGATTGTCCTCCAGTGCTTTCCTGTAATTCTCCCTGCATGCACAGGGAAAGAATCATAGAGTGGCACAAGAAATCATGGGATATGGCCCCTAGTGAGAACATGCAGGAGTTCAACAGGAGGCGTCGTTTGACCCCAGTAATCTTTCCTGCCATGGTAGGGGGTCGGACTAGATGATCTACTCAGGTCCCTTCCGACCCTAGAAACTATGAAACACTAGGGAGGACACATGAAGCAGGATAAGGATTTGCAGCATGGTTGCTTACAGCTGAGCTAGGCAAGTACACACGCTCAGATATGGATATAAATCACTCACCGTGAAGATGCACGTGAAAGAGCTTGTTTTCCATTTCTGTAACTCAGCAGAGCTGGGTATGACTTTTGGAAGACACTGCAATATAGATGTTGCAAGAGTTAAAAAAAGACTCATTGATTTCAAACCAGGCTGGTTGTTTTCCTTTGTACTTTCTCAGGTCAAAGATGATGACTTTGAGCAGTTTGACTCCGTTGCTTATGTCAACGCTACAGAAAATCTCTTGACGTTAGGTAAGGAATAATGTTGTTGGAATGGAGATGTGTCCCAGAAATGTGGGAGCAGAGATAAGCTTGTCTCAGCATGTGGCTAGAGCCTTAATTAGGCTTTAAAAAAACCCTGTACATGTAGCACTTCTGTGCAAAAGAATTTCTCCCCACCCATTCTAGTAGATTCCCTTGCAGCAGTTCTTATAATGATAACACTTAGCTCTTATATGATTGTTTTCATCAGTAAATCTCAAAACCTTTTCCAAAGGAAGTCAGTATCATTATCCCATATAACAGGAGGGGAAACAGGCACAGAGCAGGGAAGTGACTTGTCAAAGGTCATGTAACAAGTCAGTGGGGGAGCTAGGAACAGGACAGAGTCTCCTGAGTACAACTCCAGTGCACTCTGCTCCATTAATAAGTAGAAACCTAAAAAATTGTTCAGCAGAGATCAAGGAATTTTAATGGGTCCTTCTGAAGAGAATTATATTTGGCCCTGCTATAGTGTAGAGATTGTGTTAAGGTTTAGCTTGTATTTTCCTACAAACACATCCAGGAATAATATCAAGAGTATCCAGGGTGATTAAGGTCAGCACATTTTTGAGGGAGAGATGCTTCAAGCTTCAGGGCTTCAGCCAATCACTAGTTCTTGCTAATCAAAATGAGAGCTACAATGGGAGGCAAATTACTACAGCTGCTTATCTGGGTCTGTCTTCTTCCTCTGAAGCAGTGGGTACTGACGACTGCCAGAGAAATCCTACCAGTGGCGCTGGACAGGACACGGGGCACTGGGTTAGGTGGAGTGTGGGTTTGATTGACTCTGACAAGTTCTATATTTTATTGTACCTGTCTGAGGCTTCCTACCTTTACAGTGAAACAAGCATAAGAGAGCATGCTCTGCTCCCGTGTATCCCACTTGTTTCTAAAAGAAAAGCCTTGTGACACTGGAATTGAATGGTTAGACAAGGCAAACTTAATGAAACCCTTTCCAGGTTGCTTTGTTTGAGACAGGATATTCAGTCTCAGTCTCTTATCCTTGTTTCTATTTCTTTGTGCCTTTTTAACATGAAAGTCCTGGTGTGTCTGTCATGGAAATTAGCAGGCCAAGGTCTCTGCATGTAGATTGATGCCAAGCTTAATTTAACTGCTTCGTGTTGCATCTCAGTGGGATCATTTTAATAGTTGGACTCTCTAAGCCACTCCTTCCTTCAAAATTGACACAACAGCACCTCCCTCTAGGAAGCCAGTCTTCATTTTTAAAAGTTGGCATTTTCAAAGGAAAAGCTTTACCCCTCGACCAAGCATTGGAAATAGTTGCCTTGTTCCTTCCCCTCTCAGGGAAACATGGTCCCACTCTTGGTACTTTACCCTCATGTACTGTCACAGCCAGATGTGAGTTACGCTTTTAAAGTGACTGATTTCTCATGTGAATATTGTCTCTTTTATTAATATAGAGGCATTCCGTAAATTTCCAGGATTACGGGAGCTGGAACTTTCCTTGAACGGACTGAGGCATCTGAAAATCCAGGCTGGGGAATTTCTGACCTTGGAGGTAAGATTGGGAGAAGGGGGGATCTCTAACTTTCTAGCCCCACATTCAGGGTACAGTTGGGGTGGTCACAGCAATGTGTATCTATGTACCATTTGTTGTGCACATTATTTAATGGAGAATGTAGAGGGGTTGGAGCGGATGACCCTTGAAATCTCTTCCAACTCTGCACTGTGCAGTCACTTACAAACAGGCTGTGGGGTCCTTGGTTTTAAACACATGGCGACAGCGTGACCCAGCCCACCTGCAATGGCCACAGCTGATTGGGGCATGGTGCACAGTCAGGACACCTGGCCAAGCAGCCCACTTGCTGCATGGTGTTGCTTGATGTTCTCCCCTCTAGGTCTCAACTATCCTGTGTGTAAAATGGGGTTGACTTGAATGCCTCATGCACTTCCCTGGAGACATGCTTTGAGGCACTGGAATTCCTCAGGCAAAGGCGCAGCTATTGTGGTTCTAGGTGTTGGTCATCCTCAGTCCTTGTGCCCCCTGCAGCCCTGCCAGAGAGAGAGAGGTGTCTTTTCAGACCCTATAAGGCACATTACAGCCCCAGCAGCATCACCCCTGGGTTTAATCACTGACTATGTTTTGGGAAACAAAATACCCATTTGGACTGGAAGACCAAGAGGCAAGAACCAAGCCCAAGAATTTCTCCTCAGCAGGGTCAGCATTGGGCCCATCACACTCATGCCTGGGCAAGAGCAAAGCCCTTACAGACATAGAGGATCCTGTTTTAAAGACCCCAAGTGACCAAGAATCCAGCATGTCACCTGGATATGGGAAATTTCAGCTTTCTCTCTCCCCTCCACAGCTGTTATCTCTGGGCTCTGCTGGGTGAAGCAATCTCTTTACCTCCTGTACCTCTTCCCACTTTAGTGTAGGAGGTTCTTTGGGGAAGTGGGTCTGAGGTCCTCTTTACACCAGCTAACTCAGCAGCCTTAGAGCTTTGCACTTTCACTTGCCCATCCAGGGAGTGAGTTGCTCAGCTGGGTCAGACAGGACGATGGGCCAAGCTTCAGTGACATGCATTTTGGACAACAGAATTTTCAAGGTCCTTTTGGCCAGAGCTGTGCCCCATCCTTCCATCTGCTACAGCCTTGCTAGCAGAAATACAATTTTAGATCAGTGGCTCAGTGTGATTTTGGACCATAAGGTTCTTTGTGTAGATGGAGCCCATCATTGTCAAGTATTCCCCCATTAAAACTCCATTCTCCTCAGTGCCCTGTTCTGGCTCTATCACACTCCATGGTACACCTTCCATGAACGAACAACAAGAATACTATGTTGTCATAGCTGCTGAATATTTTATTGCTGAAAAATGAAGTTTTATCCTACAATCAATTTTTTTTTTAGGGAAAGTATAATTTTCAATGTTATAGACATATTTTGTTTTTTAAATCAAATCACATATCTTCCAGACCAAGTGTGATGATTATGATGAGGGAAAGAAACAACTCTCTTCACAGGGCTTAGCAATAAAGGATATCAGCAGAGTCCAAACTAAGTATTTGTTCTGCATTAAATCAGGACTTTCTCTTTCTCGTGGTCTCTAGTTACTGGACCTGTCTTACAATAATTTGTCTCCTGAGGATGTTCGAGCATTGGGAGTTTTGTCTCAACTCAAGGTTCTTCACCTGACAGCCAACGGACTTCAATCTCTCCCTTCCGACTTGGTAGTCTCAGAGGAGTAAGTCCTGAAAAAAAGACAAGCTTTAAGCATTAGTGGCTTGACCTGAGTAAAGTCAGGCCATTATATGAACTAACACTACTGTCCTATTTGAGAGACATGCTGCTGGGGTTAAGGGGATGATTGTGTGGCAGGTAATGTTGCTAATCTGATAGAGACCCATTTTCATGGCTGGCTGGCAGGGGATTTAACCTCTCCTGACAGCAATTACCTCTTGAAAATGGCAATCCTTTATTTTTTTTTATCAGTGAATAACCTCACAGTAGCTGATACCTAGCAGAGGGAGTGAGACCCATGGAGAGGGAATGTCCAGTTTGTTAGCTCCACAAACACACAGGTTGGCTGTGGCAACTGTAGTGCAAGGAGAGCTGTGGAGATTGCAGACTCTGTCAGCTCCAAGATCTGCTGGGAGTAGGGGAGAGCCTGGTCAGACCAGAGATCTTTCTTCTTGTCCTGTGGGTCATTTGAGGGGGAGATGACATAGCCCTCCTACCTAGATAAGGTGCTGAGTATGGAAAAGCCCCCCAGCTGTCATCACATGAGGCATCCCCATTAACTCCAGTCTCATCCCTTTCACCCCAGGGGCGTCTGAGGTCAGGGAATGGGTGCAAGCTTGTGGGTAGCTTGAACAGAGGCTGCGCAGGCCCCACTGGCTCATTGGAGCCATAGCAGCTTCAGTGTCTGAAGCCCAAGTAATCAGAGGATAAATCTGCAGAACCAAGGGGTTGGGTTAAAGGAGCCAATGCAGGGGGGTGCTTTCATGTAACTGGTGGTGATGATCTTGAGTCTGTCCTGCAAACCCGTTGTTCACATGAGTACACTTCCGTCATGTCAGTACTACCCTTGAAATCAGTGGGGTTCCCACCTGAGGTACGGGGACTCGTATCAGCTTGGCCAGACTGGATCCTTTCTGGGCCCAAACCTAAAGGCTTGACTGTCAAGGGTATTGAGTGCCCTCAGCTCCCATTGATCCTGGTGGCATCCTGGGAGTGAAGGGTGATCAGGATTGGGCCTTTGATGCTTGCTCAGACAAACTCCCCCTGAAATCAGTTAACCTGACTGCCTCATATGGGACTTTTGCTGGAGCAAGGACTTTATGCTCAACCCTGCTTCCTGTGAAAGCAAAACCCCTTTTGTCATCTCAAGGAACAGGATCTGCTCCTTCAGGACTGGTGCCTGCTGTCAGAGGGCTTCCAGGATGGCTGGCAGGTGCCACGGCTTTAGTCTGTCACTGTTATAAGTGCCACAGTAAAAATAGCATAACACATTGCGTCATGGCTACAGTATATAGTATAGTTCTGCTTATTGATTGTTAATAAAGACTTAGTGCAGTAGTGCTCAACCTTTTTGCCTGGTGCCTGGTCTGTCCATGGGCCAGACCTGGCTGGTGTTTTGGCGCCTGGGGCAGGCATGGCGGAGCCCCTCCAGCTGGGTGGGGGTAGGGGGTGGGCAGCAGTCCAGCCTCAATCTGGCACCATTGGAGAAAGAGGCTTGCCCTTGCCCCAGCCCAACCCTATAGAGTGGGAGGGGGTAAGGCTTGGCCCCAGCCCAGCCATGTAGAGACAAGGGGACATGTCTCAGTTGTGACCTACCATGCAGGGCTTGGGGTTTGAGAATTTGGTGGAGGGGAGGGTAGCCGTGTTAATTGCTACTGCTCCCCCACCACGAAATTTACTGATCTGTGGGGAGCCCCTGGCTTAGGTAATAGTAAATAAGGGATTAATAGTTAATAAATGTCATTCAAGGGCTAATTGTTGCGCATTTTATAAGTCCCAACTGGTCTTCCACCAAGAGCACATGTAAGGTAGTTACTTGTTTATAACATGGATTAATCATTAGTTAATGCTCCACATGCCATTTATAAATAGGTTGTTAATACAACACATCACCTCAAATGCCCTGTCAGATTTTTGTATGAAAATGGGAAGAGATCAAGGCTTGTATCACTGGTTGAACTGTATTTTCCCCTCGTGTGACAGCTAGTGGTGTGTTTTCTGCCGGTCTTTGTCAGTGTGAGTTATTAATGAGAGTCCCTTTATATCTGCAGGGGTGGTTCTACTCCACCAAGGTTCCCTTCTCTAGAAATCTTGTTGCTGGATGACAATGATCTTTCTCACCCGAGTGTCTTTGTGAGCCTGGCTAATCTTCGCAGGTAAAGATCCTTCTGCCCACAGCAGATGTGTGATCACTCTTGGCATGCCCCCATCTCTGCCTGCGGCCCCCCCACTGAAAGCTGTACAGAGAGTCAGGGTAACTGCTTGAGGGGATTTTCCTTTCTACTTTGCCCAGTCTTGGGATCTGGGAATCAAAGGGAACCAACAGCACAGTGAAAACCACCAGCTGCCCTAAGACAGATGGGTGTATTTGCTGGTACCCAAGGCTCTGCATGACCTTTGGGGCATAACTGAGGCCATGAGTGAGATTTCCTGTTCTTTGCAGCTGCCTCACAAGGCCCAGCACTTTATTTCAGTCTAGCCAGGTCAGGGAAGCTGTTGGGTAGACCCTATTTGATGAAGCATTTGTATTTGTTATTTCTGTGTCCCGTGTAGTGGGCACTGCATTTCACAGGCAGCTGTACTGAAGAGGGTACAGCACAGTCCCACCCCAGGAGATTCCTGGTGGGGGTTTGTATTGTGAAGGTGCCAGCTGGTGATGTGTTTCATGGATCCAGTGGGATTTCGGAGGACACCCTTGGTAAAATCCTAGTGGGAGCTAGTTGTGGGTGCGCTGTGTAGCTAGGGAAGGGCCAGGCATGAAAATGCCAAAGGGAGTGGTGAGGAGAACCTGGCTGAATACCATTCTGTGCTTTTGATGCTCTTTAAACCACCAGCCCCTGCACAGACACTGACCTGCTCAACATCGTCTGCCATGGGTTGGTATTATCTGTTCCTGCACACAGCTCCCAGTGCCAACATTAGCTTCTGGATCACGTTTCCTCCCAGCAGGTTGGGTGCTAGGAAGATGCCGAGTCTGGCATTTTGTCCTTCCTCAGCTGTCATGGAGCAGAGCTTCCAATGGCCTGTGATCATGAGGAGGGGAGGAACTACACTGAAGCAGGTAGCAGCAGGCAGGAACCCTGGATTTTATACCTGGCTCTTCAGCAAACTTTCTATGTAACCTCAGTCCAGCCAGCCAACCTCTGTGGGCTTCAGTTTGCTGTCTGGAAAATGGGAATAATAACACTTCCCTTCCTCACAGCCTGGCTGCAAGGGTAAAACAGGCAATGGGTTGCTTGTTGCTGTGGAAGGACAGCGAGTGAAAAATCCTTGTACAACTGCTTTTAGGCAAAGCTGAAGAGCATCAAGCCCACTGCCAGCAGGCCTGGTCTGCTAACTCCTGAGCATGGCAGTATCCAAGCTGGTCTGAGGGATGCTGGGCTTTCCTGACTGGTGCTAAGCATCTTCAACTTCCATTGACTTCAGTGGGAGAGAAGGGTCCTGTGCATCTCTTAGGATTGTGATCTACTGTATTTCAGGGATGGACAGCAGCCGCGTGGGTGCTAGGGGAGCTCACAGCTCCATGTGCCTGTGACAGCACTTAAAAGAGGGCAATAATGGTGTGTGTGCAATGGTGAGGTCTCAGGCCTGCCTGTCATTTCTGCCTTTGCTTAGCCTGAAGCAGCTGAATCTGGACAAGAACGGGATTTCGAAGGTCCCGTACCTGCATCAGAAGGGGAATTCCCGGTTCTCCCTCTCCCCTGACGTGGCCAAGATGGGTACCAGAGCAGAGGCAGAGAGCAGGCTCCGGCAGTGGCACAAGCAGAGACAGCGAGGTGGGGCAGATGGACACAAGGAGCCGAAGGAGAAGGGAGGACAACTGGAATACTTTATCTTACAGAACAGCAAGGATCTAGACAGGACAGGTGAACAGCTCTGCTTTGCTTTGCCCCCTCAGGGCCTTCTCCCAGCTCCTGCTGAAATCATTGGCAGGTTTCATGGGGCGGAAAGATCAGACCTTTTCATCCACTGCTGGGCTTCTCTGGAGCTCCTCACTGTGCATCAGTGGGTACAGCTACATGCGACAGGATTCAGACAGCATGTGCTCAGCAGCACTGGAGGAAATTAGGGTTAGGAATTAATTCCCTGGGGGAAGAGTGGGTGAGACCAGCCAAGATCAAAAAAAGCAGCAGGAAAATAGAGCTCCTCCATAGACATAGAGAGTGCTGCGGTGGGACATCAGATGAGATGATTATAAGAAGTACCCCCTCCCCCAACCTTACAACTGAAGTGGGTAAAATCCTGGCCCAAGGAACACAGGTATTCAATACCAAAGTCCCATTGACTTCCTCTTCCTCCAGAGAATGCAATGCATTCAGCAAGCCCGCTAAGTTAAGGGCCAGCTCCTGCTCCTAGCCTCAGTAGATGTGTTGCCATTGAGCCAGGCCTTAGCTGGTACTAACTGGTGTTCTTGTGGGCAGCCTCTGACAAAAGACATCACCTGAAGATCGGGGATGCCTACACCACAGCAATGCTCCAAATCCAGATTCCAGAGGATCTTGCTGTGGCTACTCTCTAGACTTCAGTCTCTAGCTTGGCTGAGAGCAGCTGCTGGGGATGCCCTTAGGCGGCTTCACTGATGCAGTTCCAGGCTGGGAGTGTGCAGATGAAAGTGGGTGGGTGGGTGTGCTTGGGAGTGGCCATGCTGTCCTTGTGCAGCCACTGCAGATGACTCCAGCATGGCCTGTATCCTTCAGATTCCCCTGGGTGTGGTAGCAGCTAAGACAACAGTCAGCTTCATGCAGTTGTACTTCGAACCTGTTTGTTTGTGCTTTGTTGCAGAGGTTATCTTCACTTCAGCCTCTCGAGAGCCACCATCTCTGGTAAGAGCTCCCCTGCTAGTGTACAGCTCAGGGCAGTGATTCTCACCATAGGGCCTGCGAGAGCCTTGTAAGGGTGCCACATGGTGCCACAACATATTAGCACTGTTAGATGTGCAAGCACTTCGACAGGCTCCATAACCCACAGATTTCAAATAGGAATCCATAGTGTCAACACCTGTCTGCCCGCTGTCGGCTTTTGGAGCTCTGCACCATGGCAGAATAACTTTGTTATTTTTCCATAGTCAAAAAACAAGTGAAAGCTGAGAGCTGCCATTTCCAGAGGGGAGCCTTGAGTCTAACGAGCTTGAGGAGCACTGGCTTGGCAGGTATATTGCACAGTTTCCTCTTCCACAGGATTCTCGCTCTGTCAATGTTAGTCTCTTTCTGAATTATTTTTTGCAAGCCCATCAGATAATGCTGAGGCTGATCAGCCTGAATGATTTATGACTAGGACCCACCATTGTCAGAAAGAAGCCTTCTCAAAGGACTTCTCACCTAAACAGTGAACATTTCACCTACATCTGCTGTGGCTTCTTTAAAGGGAGAGCTGTGCAAAATACTGCTCACCCAGGCTTGGAGTCAAAGACGGATGCAAGCTTGCTACCAGCTTTTTCAGCAGAAGGGATGCATCTGCTGTCTAATAGGTCGCTCAGCCAAGTCCCAGCTACATGGTTACATGCAGGGGAAGTCCGGGGTATTTCAGCCCATGCCTGTGCCTTCTTGCCCTAGGGCCAGAATCTAGTTGTAGGAGAAGTTGGGTCTTGTTTCATGCCTGGTACATCTGTCATTTTGGATGGAATGTGCACATTGGTGTCAGACCCCCACTGCATACTACTTGGCTTTTCATAAACTAGCTGCTGCCCTTGCAGCAAGGCCCAGTGGAGGAAGAGGAGACCCCTGGACACCTTTTGCTCCATAGTCCAGTAGTTAGGACACTGACCCAGGGACCTGGAGACTGGGTTCTAGGTCACACTCAGCTAAGAGGGCATTTGAACCTACCTCGCCACTTACTAAGTAAGAACAGTGCCACCCCTGCCAGGCTGGGCTTGACTGAGGGAACCCTTCATGGCTTCCCTTGAAGCTGACCCGCTGGGCAGTCAAGTCACATGGCCAGGTGGTGACCAAGCAGGAGAGAGTTTGGGTGCAGCCTAGTCAGGTGGGTAGTTGCCAGGGAGGGACTCCTGGGCTCCGTCCTTGAGGGCTGCTTGAGCCTTTTATATTGTTGTTGAATAAAAAGCATAAACAGTCAGATCCCAGGGGTAGAAGTGGGCTTGAACCTCTGTAGCAGCATGGGTCCTGGAACCAAGGTTTCCAAATCCTCAACAAGCTCCCAAACCTCTAAGCCATCCTTTGGGTAGATGGAGGCTTCCCTGCTCTACAAGTCCATAAGGCTGTGCCCTTGGGCGATTAGGAGGCTCTGACTCTGATTCCACGTGGTCAGAAACACCCAATTCACGGCTGCAGGGAGAAGTGCAAATGCTGCTTAACACCAAGAGGGCTGTGGGATTTCAGATCCCCATCCTGCAATTCCTGTTGGCCACCCAATGCATCCCCTGCAATATACGTGGGTGTGTGAGATGCCCAACTAGAAGAGACCCCAAAACATTTAACAACTCAGAATTATACTTCAGAGCCTGAAATTTAGGTGAGGCTGCACACACGTGCCTTTCTGATTCCCTGTAACACTTCCTACCCGGTTGTAAGTGTGTTGTAGTGCTCCTGGTTGGCAGTTAGGATCCAGGGTTGCCATTCCCTCACTGTATGACCCTGCATGCATTTTTTTGCCTATCATGTCAGACCTGAGGGCCTCAGCTTAGGCACCAAGATGTGTTTAGGCACTAAAGCAGCACATTTTTTCAGAGGTGTTAACACACAACTCTTTAGTATCACAGGTGCAACACCCCCCCAGCCCACCACTATGCATGTGTGTATGTGCGCACATGTGTGAATATGCATGTGTGTGTGTATATACATACGTATAATAAGAGTAGTTCTGATTCTATCCAGGAGAGGGGAGTGTAACCCACATCTCACATGTTATACAACCAAGCTGGATGTATTTCAGACTGCAAGGCGGTTCCCCGTCCATCATCATGCGACATGTGAAAGGCTCTCACAAGGTGCCCCAGAACTTGGTCCTGCGATGGCACAGGCTTCAAAGAAAGCTGTTTTAAAGTGCATTTTGGTTGCTTTTTAAGTAACACAAAGGAACTATCAGCTGCTACTGAATATCCAGATAGGAAGAGCCAGGCTATATTTCCATGAAGAGCTTTGTACAAAGGTCTCTAAATGTTTTACAAATGTACAGCAATTCTCAGGAAAGAAGTAAGTACAAGCAGTCTCTCCTCTTCTGCTTGCTATGTCATCGAAGTTGCTGGACCATCCAGGAGGTCACACAGTTTTCCCCAACATGACAGTTCCACATCTGCCTTGCCAGCTCTCAGCACCAGGGGAAAAGTGAGTTACACAGACATCAAATGGTCAGGTTCAGTGCCCCATTTACATTGATAAGGCCCATGCTGCTTTCTTAGTTGCTGTTGAGATGTGTCCGACCAGTTCATGACGCGTGCCTGTGTCCAGTTTGTACAAGAAGGTATTCATTGCATGCATAAGCGTTAGAGTTACAGATGAAGACTTTAAATCCTGGAGCCCAAGAGGCGGCCATCAGAGAAAAAGTATCCAGTGGTAGGTTGGTACCCATTTATCCCATCTCATCTTTTAAAGGTAGAGTGGTTAAGTGGCTTGTCCAAGGTCTCACAGTCAGTCAGTGGCAGAGATGGGAATGGAACCCAGGCATTTTGGTCCCTGTTCCTACGTTTTGAGCATTGCGCTCCATCTACTAACTTTGTACATTTTTCTTTAGACTTAATGCCTTGCTGGTGGCTGTTAGGGCGTGTGGGCACTGGAGTGGATTTGATGTTGCCGTGTCCCTATTACCTCCTGGTGTGACATCAGATTTCCCTTTCTCCTGTTCCCCTCTTTTTGGTAGGATGTTTCCGAGAAAGGGAACGACCAGTCATGCCCTGCTGACTCTGAGGCTCTTCCAGCAGCTTCCGTGAACACAATGAACCAAGACTTTGTGCCGCCCTTTCCAGAACTGAGGTCTCTCAGCCTGGCCAACAACAAGGTGATTCAGTCCCTGGGGTGAAAGATTTCCCTTGATCTGCCTTGGTGTAAGGATCAATCTGGCAGGTTGAAGGGACTTTGTGAGAGTGCAGGAAATGAGAGCTGTCATTCCTCTCCTGTGTGCAAGCCCTAGGCTTCCTGGGGAAGCTCTTTGAGAAAATTATCCAGGAGCACATCTGCGAGGGACCAGCAGGGGAGATCATACTTAGGGGCAACCAACACGTGTTCATTCAAGGCAGGACCTGTCAGACCAACCTGGTAGCCTTCTGTGACCATGTCACAAAATCCTTGGATGCAGGTGTCGCGGTGGACGTAGTCTTTCTGGACTTTAGGAAGGCCTTTGGCACTGTCTCGTACCCCATTTTCATTAAGAAATTAGGCTACTGTGGCGTCGATGCCTACACAGTCAGATGTGTCGCCAGCTGGCTGAAGGACCGCACCCAGGGAGTGGTGGTGGACGGGTCATATTCGACTTAGAAGGATGTGGGCAGTGGGGTTTCCCAGGGCTCGGTCCTGGGGCCTGCGCTGTTGAACATCTTCATCAGCAACTTGGACAAGGGGGTGAATAGCACCTTGTTCAAATTTGCAGATGACACTAAGATGTGGGGGGAAGCGGGCACACTAGAAGGGAGGAATAGGCTGCAATCAGACCTAGACAGGTTACAGGGGTGGGCGGAGGAGAACAGGATGGGATTCAGCACTGACAAGTGCAAGGTGATGCACCTGGGGAGGAACAACCAGCACCATACCTTCAGGCTGGAGAACTCCCTTCTCGTCAGTGCAGAGGCAGAAAAGGATCTTGGAGTCATCATTGATGCCAAGATGAACATGGGCCGGCAGGGTGGGAATGCTTTAGGAAGGCCAACCGCACCTTGTCATGCATCCACAGATGCATCTCGAGCAGGGCCAAGGAGGTGATCCTCCCCCTCTATGTGGCACTGGTCAGGCCGCAGCTGGAGTACTGCATCCAGTTCTGGGCACCACACTTCCGGAGGGATGTGGACAACATGGAGAGGGTCCAGAGGAGGCCACTCGCATGGTCAGGGGGCAGCAGGGCAGGCCCTACGAGGAGAGGTGACAGGACCTGAACCTGTTCCGCCTCCACAAGAGAAGGCTGAGGGGGGATCTGGTGGCTGTCTATAAACTGGCCAAGGGGGACCAGGAGGCTGTGGGATAGTCCCCGTTCCCCTGAGCACTACCGGGAGTTACAAGGAATAATGGCCATAAGTTGACTGAGAGTAGATTCAGACTAGACATCAGGAGGTGCTACTTCACTGTCAGGGTGGCTAGGATCTGAAACCAACTTCCAAGGGAAGTGGTGGTGGCTCCTACCCTGGGGGTCTTCAAAAGGAGGCGAGATAATCACCTAGCCGGGGTCGTTTGACCCCAGTACTCTTTCCTGCCATGGCAGGGGGTCGGACTTGATGACCTACTTAGGTCCCTTCCAACCAACTATGAAACTATAGGCATTATTTCTTGGTGGAGATAACTGGTTCTGGCAGAAGTCCTTGATGGGACCTCTCACCCACCCCAAGAGTATGTTATTTACCCTGTGATGCTGACGGGCTTGGAAATCTCAAGTCCCTCATCTCAGACTTGCCTTGTTTCACCTGCACTCTCTGGTGAATCAGTGACTTCCCTCCTGGCCTATGCCATTTGGTTCTTAGGAGCCCCTGTGCCATTGCATTGGTAGTAGCAGGATCAGGCTGCCTGCCTGCCTCTGCCTCAGAAAACCGGGGTGGTAGCCTGGAAACCGCTGCCCCTGCTGCATTCACGTGGCCTACACATATGCCTGCTTTGGCCGTCAGCTGCCAGCGGGTGCAGGACAGAGTGTGCCCAGCACTGCCCTGCCCAGCCTATGCAGCTCAGAAAGCAGTGGGAGGTTTGGCTGTGAGTGCACTGGTATAGAGCAGGCACCTTCTCCCTCCTCCCTGGCCTTGTGCCCACACACGCAGCTCAGATAGCTGCAGTGCTTGCGGGGTCAGGCTGGCTCGCTCCTCGTCCTGTCTCACCTTCAGGCCCAACTGTTGTTGTTTCATGTTATGTCCTGTGATTCCTTCCTTTCAGACAAGGAGATGTGGCTCATGGAGGCTGCACCTCCCAGCATGTGCTGATCCACATTGCCTTGAGCAGCCAGGCTGCAAGAGAGGAGGGTGTCTGCACCCTTCTGTGCTGCCAGAGCTTGCTTGGGTGTGGCACATGATCTCAGTGCCTTGGGGATGCAGCTTATCTCCAGATCCTCTGCATCCTCAGTTGCTGCCTGAGGCGTTTGCACCATCCTGTGCCCAGTCTCTGAGGTCATGTCCCCTATTCAGCACAGCCACTTGGGAGGGGACTGGAGGCAGTTCTGCTGGACAGTGTTTTATCTTGCAGATTGAGAGCGAGGAGGATCTGCTTCCCGCCGTTCTCTTTCCATCTCTGCTGGAGTTGAGCTTCTACGGGAACCCCCTCAGCACTTCCAGGAGCGGTACAGTGTCGGCCGTGCACCCTACAGGGAACTCTCCCATCTCCCTGTATCATCCACTGTCCTTAGTGCCTTAGACTGTATGTCTTCCCTTGTTCTGCACTGATATGGCATCCGGCCCAAAAGGGTCCTGGATGATGGCACTGGGGCAGCGGTGCCCAGCCTTTTCACCCCATGGGCTGGATGGGGAGTGCTGGGTTGGATCCCATCCATAGGCCTGATCTAGCACATTGTGCTGGCCTGGCCAGGGTCTGATCCATCTGCACAGGGCTTAAAAATTTGGCAGTGGGAGAGCAGCAGCAACATTATTTGCCACCACTCCCCTACTGCCAAGTGCCTGGACCCATGGAGAGCTGTGTGGGCCAGGTGACGTAGTTCCTCAGGCCAGATTTGGCCTTCAGGCCGGGAGTTGAGCTTCCTTGTGTTAGGGTGGTGCAAAGAATAACAGGGCTTGATGTTTTGTGAGGAGGGACCCATGCAGGGGAGATGCACTCAGTGCACAAAAGGGTCTGCCCCACACAAATACTCAGTTCCTCACTAGGGCACCAGGGTTCACATTGTGGGTGGCTGTAGGGAAAGGGCGGAGGGTGCGCTGCTCCTCATAGACTAGTTGCATCTGATGGTCCTTCTGCTTTCCCAGACACAGAGACTGTGTCCGTAGCTGCGAGCTGGTGCAAAGGCTGCTGGGATAAGGGACTCCATCCCTAAAACCACGAGCAGAGCTAGTTGCGCTGGTGGGGAGCATGCCTCAACTCTCCTAACGAGCATGGGCTGCTTGGGAGTTTTCACTTCCAGCTCCCCCTGGAGATGGGGCCACTTTATGTAGGAATCTAAGGTCTTGACTTTCTGGAGAGGGAGCCTGTATAGGGTGCTGAGCCTTTGTTATGGCTCTGGGGCTAGGGTCTTCTGGGTTGTCAAAGAGATTCAGGTGCATGACTCTTGATTTTAGAGGCTAATTCCTTTAGGTTCCCACATCCGAAAGCTTGATCCTCTGGGGTCCTGTGCCAGTGACTTGTCAGCCCTCTTGAGAAATGGGGGCAGACCCTTCACTGTCCCCAGTCACCGTAGCTCTGTTGAGATCTGTGGGGTGATGGCAGCTGAGGGTCTCCATGGATGTCAGTGGAGCTGGGCCCCAAGGCTTTTCATAGTCATAAAGAAGTGGGGCTGGAAGGGAGCTCCAGAGGTCACATCTAGTCCAACTCCCTGCCTGAGCCAGGATCAGCCCTATCCAAACCATGCTATACAAATCCACAATCTAATTTCTTAATAAAACTACAGAGTTAACTCTGATGCCACGCAAGACCTCACACTTGAACCTGCCACAGGTAAAGCTGGGAGACCACGGTGCCCAACATCCTGCTGATGTTAATATATGCTTAAGAGATCCCAGGAAAGGCCATGCCGTTTGCTACAGAGGAAGGCAAAACCCTGCACAGCCGGGCTACAAATATAGCATCAGTGTGATCCTGAGTGGTGGGGCAAGACCCTCTAGCCATGAACATCCAGGTTTGAATCTCAGCAGGAGCATCGGCACAGGCCAGTCACAATCTCTAGCCTTGGCTGCAGTCAACACCCAAAGCCCTGAGGAAGGCTTCAAACCACTCACACATGTAGCAGAAAAGGTGGGGGGAGCAGGGTTCCCTCCCAGCCCCATGGGGCAACCAGCAAAGCTCAGAAACCCAGGAAATCCCTGTAGTAGTGCACAGGCATAGGGACACTTAGATGACCCCCGATAAAAAAGCTTTAACTCTTTCTGCACCTAATGGGACCCAGCAGAAAGTGCTGCCCCTGTTTTTACTTCCAGCAGAGTCCTTCCAGCTGGCTTCCACAGAGCCAAGCAGAATTCTGCCTTGCCATGAGAGCTCTGCTCTGGAGAGACCTTGCTTGGGACAATCACTGGGACTGCCATTGCATTGATTAAAGCAACCCCCACGTTTTTGCAGGTGATCCACCTCTGCTGACCAGTTTCCTGCAGTGCAAACTGGGGATAAAACTGATCAGGAGAAAGATTTCCAAACTTGGGAAGCTGCACATCTGTATTCCCCTCAAGGCCAACAGAAAGGTAGGTAGGGCCGAGGCTCCAAGATGCTGTCAGCTCCCATTCAGGGGATGTGAAAAATTGCAGCTGTATGAGTACGGGGTTTTGCCTGCCCTGTGCTAACTTGCACTTGGCTTATCCTGCTGACCAGTCAGCTTGCACGTTCCCTGGCTGCAGGGCATCCCTGGTAGTTCATGCTAATAAACTCAGCTGCAGCTGAGTCAAGTTGTGGCACAGGTCAGTCTGACCTCTAGGCTTGGGGCAAGCTGCGTCTTGACCTGTCAGCTCACACCATTGTGCAATCTGATGTTGACATTGGCTGTGTGCATCATTGCTTGTGTGCTCAGCACTAGCACTGATTCCTGTCCCAGCAGGGCAGAGCAGTCGTGGGAACCTGCCCAGTGTGTGCCATGGCTTTGCAGGTTTCCTCTCCTTCTGTTTCAGATAACATCTCACCTCCCAAAGGTGCCAAAGCAGCTGCTGATGCTAGAAGCCCCACAAGAATCCTCCTGGAAACTGTGCTTGGATACCAAGGGAGCACAACCAGAGAAGTCCAAAGAAGGATCACATAATCTGAGCCTGCCTGACCTACTTCCACCAATTGGATCATCTTCTGTGGAGCAGAACAAGATGCTTCCCTATGAAGCCAAACTGGAGGAGCCTGAAGAAGGTTCCCCCAGCCTGAGCCTGGCAGAGGAGGACTCCATGATCAGATCGTCTTTTGCAGAGGAGAATGAGGCATCCCACAGTGCCGAAACCCTTGGTAGCAACCGGGAGATGCCAGAGACAGAGGACTGGGACTCTGAGGTTGGACCTGAAGGAGCTGAAGAGGATGTTGAGTCATTTTTCATGACTCAGGTGTGTGAGCTTGGGCAGCCAACACTCAACGCCTTTGAGAAGCCTTAAACTACCCCTGACACATGTAGCAAAGAGGGGTGGGGGGCAGCAATCAGCAAATCCCAGAAGCCTGGAAAATGCCTATGGTAGAACATAGGCATGGCTATGCCTATATCATCCCTGACCAGTGGTTGGGGTGTGCTGTGAGGTCAGGATCCTGTATTAGATGATCAAGTTGTGGTATCATAGTACACACCAGCATGGTAGCTGCTTGGACATCTAGGTGTACTTAATGTTAACACTTCCTGAGGTGTTGAGTGCCTTTCGTTAAAGCTGTGGAGCCCCAGTTGATGGAGCTGTAGTTGGTGCAGCAGTTGCTAGGCTTTGGCCTGGGCATCCCAGAGGATGGAAGTGATCACAGATGAATGTGAGAGGAGATCTGCTCCCTTTCTAGGGTTCCTCTTGGCCTGAGGGCATGACCAGAGCCACAGTGAAAAACCTCTGTAAATATTTCCTCTTCCTGTCACAAGGTGGATGGTGCATCTGGTCCTCTTTGGCGACCTGAAACAGAGGAAAGACATGCAAAGAGGAGCAAGCAGGGGAAAGGGAGCAGAGACCAGCACATTCCAGCGAAATACAAAGGTTACGAAGAACTGCTCGATGCCAAAACTGACCCTGGTTTCCTTGAACCAGTCGGTGAGTGAGTAAAGCAGGTGTCTTGCTCTCTCTTGGCCGGGGAGAGCACTCACCACTCTCTCAGAAAGGCTTGGCTCAGGTGGGTCAGATCAGATGGTCACAGCTGTCCCTTCTGACCTCAGTGTCTATGGATTACTCCAACCTGCCTTCAAGCTTTCCAGCAGCCTAGATAGCACACCAGGGCATCTCAGTGTATGCGGGGTGGGGGCAAGGAGGGGTGCTGTGTTCCTATGTAGTCCCCCATGCAGATGATCTGAACAAAGTTGTGTCACTGATGATCCCCTGAAGACCTAAGAGACTTTCCCTTTGCTCAGTTATGTGGTGGGCCCAGGGATCCCACCTCAGGAACACAGCTGGGTATTCGTATCCCTCCGCTGTTTCCACCACGTGAGGCGGGCCAGTAGGGGGCGCTCCTGCGTTGAGCCGCCCACCTCCCTGCGCCCGACCACCTTCCAGGCTCCGAATGCCTCCCTAGGGGTGCCTTATGTCCGGCCGACCCCTCTCCCGGAGCACACTTGCTAGTCTGGGGGTAACGTGCTGCCACCACCCCGAGAGTAGACTGTCTCGGCCCTGTATCCTCGGGGAAACACAGGCCTAATAGTCCTACAGGTACTTGACCCAGTACAGGCACTTGGGGTACTTCCCCAAGTCCGGGGGCAAAAAGGAAAGTCTCCCTTAGTCTGCAGACCTAAGGGGTCTCTTAGGCATAATTTAGACCCACCCCTCAATAAGTCTCCCACACCAGTCAAAAAGGAGA